GTTAAGAGTCAGCTTTGGCTCAATGGGTGTACGAGAGCTTGCCTCCCTCGTGAGGCTCTCTGAGGCTGTGGAATATCACACAGCTTGCGCCTGCAGTGTGCTGTTAGGCTGAGAAAGTATTTACCAGATTGCAGTTGATTTTCCTAAGGCATTAACAAGTACAGAGTCAGGGAGGTCACCTCAACTTAATACACCACAAGTCTCTCAAAAGCCTGCAAATTATCATTTCTCTCACATTTACATTACAAGAGATTTCTAAAGATATATACATGCCTGCAATATATACATACAAGGCATATTAACTAGAGGTTTACTTATATGAAACACCTGGTATTTACATTACAGTAGTTTATATTGTTATAAAAACATTGCAGAGTATCTATTTTTACACTGGTGAACAAAAGACTAGAGCCAAATCACTGTTGCCCATTCAACCACACGGAGAAAATTTTTGCAAGAAAGACTGCATGTTCCAACCTGTGTTTTGGAAACAAGCATTATAGTAAGACTGACTACAACTTATATTCTTAACAAATGTGCAATTTTTATAAATCCTTTCACGCGTGGCACAACAGAGATTACTACTCGTGCCTAAAACTGGCAGTTAATAAGCTGCAATGAATAATCACTTCTGCAGAAATGAAGAAACTTTTTTTGCTTCTCACAATTTATGTATATACACTAATTATCCGACTACTCAGTTTTATGGCACTGTAAGAATGATGCTGTCCTGCCAAGGGTTAAAACACAGCAGATTAACAGAATGTCACTAATAACTAAATTAAAGAGCACATTAAAAATTCATTACATTTTCAGTGAAACATTGCATAACTTGTTGCAAAATTGTCAGAGTATTGCCTACCAAATAAATAGTTACCTTTACTATTTTTAATGATTTTTTCTTTATAGTTAAAATAATTAAGCATTCATAATGGCTTGTTCTAATCTTCTAGGTTTATAGTTATTTCATTGGCATGTAACATAACGTGGGTATTCACACTGCCTAACTCTAAGCATCTAATATAAATGTGTGAATTAGGAGCCTTTCCAATCAATGAGCCTCCAACGCGCAATTCAGAGCATATACATGTTGAATATCTGACCACTGTTTTTCACCTGTGTTACTTTAAGTCCCATCAGTTCATCCATCTCGTAACATCTTCAGCTTCACATCTTCAGCTTCAACAACTGGCCAGATTTTAAAAGCTATTTACATGCCCAAGGATGCAAATAGGCAGGTAGTGAATTTGCAGAAGCAAAATACTCCCATGAGTTTGTGCATAGATGCTTTTGAAAATCTTACCAGGCACCTGAATACTTTGAAAAAAATGGCTTTATAGGTTGTCACCAGAATGTTTTCTGCTCTGTGTCCTTAATGCATTGTTTCTGTTCAATATTCCTAACAGACAGATTCAAACAGCAATTTACCAGTGGAACTGAAGCAGATAGCCCAGCATTGCCTTACCTCCTCCTTAAGCTCAGCACCTACAAAAACCTGAAGGTCTGAACCTCAGGCACTAGGCTAACATATAAAAACTGTACACCACCAGCAGCCTGGTTTACAACAGAATGAGGTCTGCTTTCCTCTGAGAAAGCATACACGTAGATCCCCACACGCTGGCAAGGCATCTACCCACACTGTGAATCCCAAGTGGACAGAGGTCACTGGCTTAGAGTTGCAGACAAATACTGTAGAACTGGAAAAGGACGTTTAGGATTTAGGACAAACCTCTCTCTATGGTGTGTCCTACGCTGTTTCCCAGGAAACCCGTCCCTGGACTCACCACGCATTAGTACTCCTTTCAGATACGCTCTGGAGTCAAATCCCTTCTCTCACCTAGACAGTGGCAGAATTCTGCTCTTTTCTGTTTTCAAAAGCCATTAGCCATTACTTGCCTTTTTTCCTGATTTCTCCATTACTTTTCCTTTCTTTTTATCATATTCTCCTCACTTTGTGTTACACGTCAGATTTTGTAACTCAGTCCAAGGATCTTTCAAAGCAGTGTCCTTTGGTAAGCCAAAGAGAATCACAGAATCACAGAATCACAGAATCACAGAATGGCTCAGGTTGGCAGGAACCCCTGGAGATCATCTAGTCCAACCCCTCTGCTCAAGCAGGGTCACCTAGAGCATATTGCCCAGGATCGCATCCAGGCGGGTTTTGAATATCTTCAGGGAAGGAGACTCCACAACCTCTCTGGGCAACCTGTTCCAGTGCTCAGTCACCCTCACAGGAAAGAAGTTTTCCCTCATGTTCAGACGGAACTGCCTGTGGTTCAGTTTGTGCCCGTTGCCTCTTGCCCTATTGCTGGGCACCACTAACCAAACGTTAGTTTCCTATCATAGACACTGTCATGGTAGTGGCAGAATCTGTCCTTGCTCTTTTGGTCACCTTGTTAGTTCAAGGGCAGTACCTCTAGTCCCATAAATACTAATCATATGCAATAATCTGCTTTGCAGTATTATGCTAAATTCCTTCCTGAAATCCAAAGAGATGAATATAGTGATAACATACGCAGTGGATTAGTCTCAGCAGTCATTGCTTAAGATGCTCCTTTATGTCTGCACACTCATTTCCTACCCTGTTGCATATTCATTTTCTCCTCCTCCCTCCTGCTGACTGCTTTAGCTTCTGAGGAAATCAAATTTCTGTCTTTTCCTAATGCCATAGTGACTCAGTATTTTTACTAGCTTTTTCTGTGTTTGATTTTATTCCATTTAGTGTCATGTACTTAGTCAATCTCTGTTGCCCATTTTATACTCTTCTGTACAGAGTTAGCTATGGATTTGTTCATACGCATGGGTACAGTTCACATCCTGTTAGCTCAAGAGAAGCAAGCTGGCTTCTGATGATTGCATACAATATCGTGGTAACAGCAGTCATATTCCTGTCATTGTGTTATAAACCTGGGAATGCCCAGTTGCACACCTTGACAACTTGGCTTGAAATGGTGTTACAACGGTACAGGTTACTCCCACTGCATCTGAAATTACAATGCTTGGAGTCTTTCCGCTTGTCACTGGAAATCAGATAAGCATCTTCATCAAACAAATGGCATATTAGCACTCCAGACCCATCAAAGTGGCAATCTCCAGATTTTGCAAGCTGATGCACAATAGTACTGAGTACGTTATTTGCTGTGGACAGTGTCATACTCTACTCTTCTAATTGCTCTCTGCCTTATCTATTTAATCATTTCCTGTGGCTGCGGGCCACTGTTATCCCTCCAAGGTTATTTTGATGAATGTGTGTTTTTATGGAGTTGGTATTCTCCTGGCTTTACATCTTTTTTTAAGGTACATTTTCTCTCCAGCCTTTCTCCTTACGAAAGAAAAAGAAAATGGACCGCCCTACATCATAGTAACATCTCTCCATTAAGTCTTTTTAACAGGATTGTAGTCGCAGTCTCCTCCTGTTTATATGTTTGTGAAAGTACCCTTTGGCTTTGTTCACGTATTCGGCAGAATGTGTCTTATCAATTTTATTTTTACACTATTTATTTTTCCTTGTTTTTCATGCTCTGACTGTGCTTCCCTCCCTTTGCCAGCTCTCAGTTTTGGGCCATCTTTCATGCCATCAGAATACTTCCCTCCTAAATAACAATTCAAATAAAGAGGCAAAGCTATCCCTTTCAGGAGGCTTCCAAAGGCTTACTTAATCCAATTGCACGTATACATCTGTGAGCTAGCTTTTCACACCAGTATCTTACACAACATGTAAAGAATGGATAAAGATAACCCACCTAATTGCTGTTACATATTCTTAGTCTTTCGGAGGCTTTAGCAGCTTTATAGCTGCTGCTGTGTCTCCCTGTTATTGACAGTATAATTGACTGATTCATTTCTTTTTCATCTGACTAAAAAATGGCTGACAATAAATATTGCTAAATACCACTGTCAGCCACTACAGCAAATATCAAAATGGGAATACAAATGGAAAATGAGAATTTCTTGGCACTTGAAGACAAAGAGGTGAAAAGAGAATTATTTTACATCTAACAAAGAAGCCATAAACATTTCTTTTCTCAGTGTAAAGGGTCTTTGAACAGTGCTAAAGAAAGTGTCTTACTGCCACATGAATTTCTGTACTTCAAGATAGATATACATTACTATACACTTTTAAAAAAAGCACTGAACTATCACAAACCATGTACTGCTGATTCAAGTGACCAAGCTGATCTGCCTCTAAGCCAGGAGAAGCAAGAGGAATTTTCAGTCTATGATGCAATATCTTTAAGAATATAGATTCAGCCTGTGAAAAAAATGCAAAGGCTGCCCTAGGCAGATTGCCACAATGTATTTCCCTAAGAAAAACTAATTTGTAGCTGCTTGTTTGTTACTTACTTTTTCCCCCCTTTTTTCCATACACATGCTTGCATGTAGATGCAATATGTTTGGGTTTTGATATTCAGTTGTTTGCAGAACAGTTTCAGGTACCTTATAGGAATCCCAGACTGACTCTGGCAGACTATTTCAAAAGCTAACAAACAGGCAGTTTAAGTGCAAGGACAACAGCTGGCTGTCATGCCAGAAACTGTCTGCTCTGTCCTCCCTCAATATCAATAGCTGCATCTAACCAAAAATCAATACACCAAATTCAGAGCACTCTAACAAAGCCATACTGCTGAATGACTCATCGTTCCCAAAAAGCCGGGATGATATAAGTCTTACTCAAACTTTACTGTATGTCGAATATCCTACACTGACGCAAGACAGCTATTGCCTGTACATTGGTGCTGGGAAAGCTAATTACTGAGAAACATTTGTTCAATGATCCAACTAAAGCAATAAAACAGATGAATTTTAAATTTGCTGGCCAAACATAAAGAAGAAAAAATTAAAAAAAAAAATCTGTTATTTCAAAATAAAAAGTGGTTTTTTTTTAGTGAAACAACCAAAACAACTTTGGGTCAAGTTTCTTATTTTGTTCGATTTAAAGAACTTCATTTTCATTTCAGGTTTTAAATATTTTTATTATGAAATATGGCTATTTTCCAAAATGTCTGAAATTAATACAATCAAAGGGTTTCATTTTGACAGAGCTGAAACAAAATATGTCAGTTCCTTCAATATATTTTCTTACTTGTCACGACAGTTTTTTACCCAAAGGTATTGACAATTTTCTCCTCCATAGAACTGCATTTTCCTGTGAGTAAATAATAATGAAAATATACCTGCACACTGTATTCTAATGCTGTCTTCAGCTGTGAATTACACTGAACTATACATTTTTAATGTTGATTTAAGATGTAATCATGATCGTTTGTCAGATATGAAACAGAGTATCACAGAGTATGAGCCATTTATTTAAAAACTGGAGTCAGCAAAACATCTTCAGCCAGAATCAGCGACATACAAAAATAACAGTTCAAAAAACCCTCCAAAAAACTAGACTGAGAGGCCTTAGTTAGTAACACTTCTTTGGAAATGAGCTGGGTTAGCAGCTGTAGTGTCTGTCTGTATCTTCAAAAGAGCTCCATACAAGCATAATAACACAGGGAGTAATTGAAATCTAAGTTCATCCAAAATAATTAAATCCTGGGTAATTTGAAAAAACAGCACACGAAATCTTCCATCTATTCCCTGGAGAGGGCCTGCCTGTGGAAATATCTTTACGGAGAAGGTAAGTGCGATTTCCACAGGAGAATTAATCTGAAACAGCCATAACCTGATCCATTACTTGGCTTCACACCGGGGGTTTCAATAAAAGGGTAAAAGAAAACAAATTACATGCAAATATCTGCTGGCAGTCTATTCAGCAACTTGGGCTCTGCCAAAAGGGTTAAGGATAGAGGTAGAAGATGGAAAGAGAAGTTGCATTCTCTAAAAATGTGCGCTTTTCATTTTTACATTCTTAATAATTGTGCTGATTAAGTTAGGTTGGTTAAAGCTTATAGAAGATAACACTTGGAATACTGGTTTGCCAAGCACCTTTGTGCTTGTCTGCATTGGGGATTGAGATGAACTGCCCAAAACAGTGCTGTTAAGAAACATAACTTAATCTATTAAATTCCTGTGCATAGTTTTCCAGGCAAAGTGACCTTCCTTCAGCATTTAAAAATTCCAAGTTTTTCCAGGAATCTTTCAAGGCCAAAAGTGCATAATACTGAGATTACTTTACTTCTCAGAGATATCCTCCACATCAGCAGTTGCCATACTTTAACTTACACACATTGACTTTTTAATTTATCTCAGCTGTACCACAGGTTTCTATTTAAGACAGGATTTTCTTTACACTCTCTGTTTCTTAATGAAGCATGGCATGCATTAAATACTGTTTGGAAATTAAAAAAGGGAAAAAACTCACAATCTTTTCCAAAAAGCATTTCCAGAGACGAAAGCACTTATTAAAACATCCCCCAAAAGATTACTGATGTAAAATATTCAGTGGAGGCATGAATAAATCCTGCTGACTATAACGTTTGGCAAGAAACAGAAAAGATGTGTTTTTCATATGGACAGTTTCAGAATCTGTCATTCAGGCCAGAGACACATCCATGATACACTGTACCCTGCAGTTAATTCTACGCCGTGTCCAGTGGTCAATCCATCCCTAGCCACACCTGGGATTTTCAGAGGCGTTTTTTTTTATGCCCAAGGAATATAAACAAGCAATTTCAATTCATTCCTCAAAGAAAAAAGCGCAGGTTAATACTACTGACAAGGCCATCCCCTCTAGCCCCTCTCCTACTCTTCCCTTCTCATTTGTGATCAGTCAGCGTAAAATAGCTTGCATGCTAGAATTTATTCTGCCTTTAAAAACTGATGATCCTCACTAAAGCGCTAACAACTTTATTTGAAAAAAAGTATTCCATTAACATGCAGTTGATTTCTAGCCAAAGAACTGGAATACGATTCAAGCCTAACACCACGTATGCTAGATGATTTCTTCTTCATTGTTTGCTTTCTAGTGGTTGTACTAGGATTATTTATGAAACCACTATGTTGCCTCATAGTACTGTTCTGGGACACACATCTTAGGAAAGCTGAAATACTCCCAAATCATTTCAAACACATTTCAGAATCTTTCCTGTAAATAATGTAGATTACTATAGACTATTTATTTCATAACTCTCTGTTGGAAATGGACTTGTACTTTTATAACAGGCAGATATTTGACATCCAAAAGTGCTGATATGTTCATTCTCAGGAACGTTTCTGTCTGTTGCCTTGCTAGAACAGAAAAAAAGGACTTACATGTTGGAATGCCTAAAATTTAGGTCCCGTGAAACAAAATCTGGAGCCTTCTCTCTGGCACTGAGGCTCCATATGCTGTATCTACAGAGCACGAGGCTGTTATCAGTGCTTTAAGTCATGTTATGCTGGTAGCACCACTGAAATAAGCTGTCATTCACCTCCCACTGAGCCCACTGACCTTGCTCCATGTCATCCTCCTCCTGGGACAGCATACTGTTTTTTCACCACAGGATGAACTGGTTTGGAGAAATAATCCAGCTAAAAAATAACTTTTTTTTCAAGGTTGTTTTTTTAGCTGGCTCATTTCCCAATCTAGGCAGTCACATGGCTGCACAAATACTTACTCAGGGCAGAGGAGGGGAGAAACGAATGGTCGGAGTAGATGGGATAGTTTCTTTAGAGACACCACCATCTGCGTGTCCTTGAATTCTCTTTGATACCAAAGTTCTAGGAAGTACAGACTTTGGTATCTCAGCAATGACATTCAGAACAATCAGCATGATGATTTTTGATGCTGCTTAGCAGACAGCACACTGCATACAGTATCACCTGCAGCTACCAAAAACACAATAAAAATAAGTTTCAGATCAGTTCCCCTCCAGGGCCTGGTGTTGTACCAAGGATGGAAAAAAGACCTCTCTGTTTGCTCAGGGTCTGTAGGGTTCTTTTTTTTTTTCAATAACTGAGTACAGATCACTATACAGGACGTTGAACAGGAACCATCGTTCCTGTTAGACAGCCTAGCTGTTGGAAGAAGTGGAAAGGATTGAGACATCTATGTTCACTGGAGAGGGGCTGTGAAAACTCTCAAAGAGTATGAAAAAAAAAAGGTTTGAAACATAGGAATCACGACTGTGTACCCTGCTTCTTAAGGAATGTATTTGTGTACTAGCGTGCGCACAGAATGCATGAGAAGGTCCTTAGGAAGGACTGAAATTTCTTCTTTCCAGGCACTAATAATCTACAAAAGCATGCACACTTTTCCAAGATTTGTAAATCTCAAGTATAAGCAGGGAAGGCATCACTGTGCCTCTGTTGGCCAGGTTTTAAAAGAAAGAATAAGACACGTCAGATAGCTGTAAAATATGTCTCATCAAAGTATCAAAGTACCATACCTGCCATCGGAACACTTTAATGACTGAATCTGGCTTCTGAGCATTACCAAGTTAAGGTACTCAAAGCTGCCAACATTAAGATGCTACAAGATCTGTCTGGAGAACTAGGCTCCTTTGTAGCCAGAATCGTGCAAGGATTAGACAGGCACTGAAAAGGGTTTTCAGGATCGTAGTTATGATTTAAGCACTTAAATTCCACTTACCTCTCTCTTTGGCTCTAATCTAACTTTAAAAGGAACCAAAATCCTCTACCTCTGAAGATAATGCCACAAGATTCTTAAGGACTATTGTCCATATGCTGAGGTACGGTCAAATTGTTTTTGATATAAATAAAAGGTAAGCTTATGGCTGTTAACCTTCTTTCAGCTTAATTTGAGTACTTCCTTCTGTAGATGAGTCCAAATCCTGCGCTGCCAGAAGGGTAGACTTTTTTTTTGTTTGTTTTAAAGTTTCCAGTTCTGATTCCTAGGTTTATTAAGAGTATTTCAGACTTCTAAAGAACAAGTTTGGTATCAATGCAGACTGCTCAGAGAAACCCTGAGAGTTTCAGAGCTTCTTGTACTCTATGTTGTGTTTTACTCCTTGATTCTCCCCTTTAGCTAGACTTTTCAGAGTTGTGAAACCATTACTTTTCTCTGATTCACATGTGGTTGACACTATAAATTCACAACGCATAGAAATTAATTAACAAATCAACTCCAGGCCAACTCAATTTCAGTTAAGGGACACGGTCCAGTTTAGTGTCTCCAACATCCTTCCCAAAACAAGCACAAACACATTGTTCTGCTCAAATCCCTGAGCAGAATGCCATGTAAACAGATTGACTTTACTGCATTCCCTGGAGTTTAGTGAAATAAAGCTCTTTCAGATCAGCAGTGACTTCCCAACATGACCACTGTTCATGGAGAACAGCCTGCCAATACCACTCTGACATTTAAATCTGAAATCTGATGTACTTAGATCATAACATAATCACCTCCAGCTAAGCCTCTCCCTTTTACTCATCTCATTAGTAACCAACTTTGTGTTTACAAAGCAATAGTAAACATTGTTATCCATTGTCAAGGCAGAAAAATATCTGAAAAATAATTTTTAAAAAGTCTCATGAATGTAGGGTCATATTTTCATGCATTTATCTTAAAAAAATAGAGAAGGAAATTTGAAACTACCTTAATAATAATTACCTCATGGGTAAAACTCCCAATGAATTCAATGGCACAGGGTGACTGGTATCCAAGCAGGGTATAATTCAAGATTTCCTTGGTGCAGCCAATGAAAGCAGAAGTTCTGAAGACCCTGACCTGGCTGTTCTTGTGCAGCTTTCCTCAAGTGCATATGCAGAGCCCAACCAATTCCATGCTACAAGGCTTCACTGCTACACAGCTCTTTCTGCTTTTCCCTGAAAATAGAAATCCATTTTCAGTAACTGACAAAATCAGCTTCTATTTTTTGTCCAACTCATTTAGCATATTTTGAATTTCTGGGGATTAATTTTTTCTAACAGTCAGTGCTGATTGCTTGCTAAGCATACAAACGGTACGGCCAATAAGTACAAGTCTGGTTGCAATTTTGAGGGTAACATTTAAAAGATGAAGCAATTTATTCTTAAAGGGCACCTGCTCGTATATTTCTGCAAGCAGTATGCATTCATTTTTTTCTTGGATATAGACATTACCCAAATTTGGTTCATGGCTGCAACACCTCTACAATGCGTCTCTAAACGGCTGTTTACAGTCTTGAATTCAGTCAGCTGTGCCAGACTGGCTGGGTACAATCTTGGATGCGTTGTGCGCTCCTGAATCCAACAGCTATTAATGAATGACACTTGCGGTGCTACTCTTACACTTACCCATCCTTAAGCGCACACACTGTGTATCTGCCACCTGACAACTCTCACAGCAAGGCCAGTCTGTCCAGCCGTTGACATGATCTGCGCAACGAAGTGAGTCATGTCACCCCTCTCCGGATTCACAGGCGACTCTCTGGTTACCTACATGAAGAAGAATCATTCACTACCCAAAGCCCTTACCCTCCCCCTCAAAGGGGAGCCAGTGCTTTCTCTTCCTCAAACTGGGTCATCATGGAAATCTAAGCCTTCTTCCCTTTAAGAAGCTGTTCCCTGCTCTGTTTTCTCTTTAGAAAATGAATGCGCATTTGTGGTGGCACTAGCAGCTGTGCACTCACAGATCTGGGAACTGATCTGGCCAAAGACTGATTTTTTTTGAGGGAGAAAGGGAGGCAGTTTTCCAGCAGACTGATGCTCTAGTCCAACTCACCAAATGAACGTGACGGCCTGCCAAAGGATGCAGCGGGTTCATGTGGTGGAGCACAGCAGATACAGGCAAACTTGAGGCAGCTACGAGACTGCAGCCTTAAACAGTCACCGCAGAACAAAGCTGGCGCTGCCCGTAGACTGTCAGTGACTTGTTACCCAGTTCTAGGTGCCTCTGCCATTGATCCTTTTTATGCGAAGGGAAGATTCAAACACCAAAGGCTTCATAAAACCACCGTGTTCCTTTAGGAAGGGGGCCGAGGCCCTCTGCTTGGCGACAGATCACAGCCACCGCTCTGCCCCGGGGACCCAACTCACCCCTGAGGTCCCAGACAGCGGCTACCCCCAAGATGGTGGATACCCCAAGATGGCGGCTACCCCCAAGATGGTGGATACCCCAAGATGGTGGATACCCCTAAGATGGCAGGTACTTCCCCCCCCCCGACCAAGGGAATGCATGTTGGGCTCCTGCCAGCCCAGGGCCACCACCTGCTTCTCAGTCTTCACAGGTCTGAGCTTTGTGGAAGTGGCAGTTTGAGCACGGCCCCTGCCTCAGCACCGGGTATTTCTGTCACTGAATGCTGGCCTTGTGCCACAGCCCGGTGACCTGGTCCTTGAGAACAGGAGCAGGTGACCCCGGAGAACAACAACGCACCAAACGAATCCAACAAAACTTAGCCTGAGGGCGCCTAGCTTTAGTCGTTTGGCTGCTTATAAAATACTTGAGGCCGGACCTAAAGTTTCCAGCCAAATTACAAGTGGGAAGGGGGGAGGGGAAAAAAGAAAAGAGAGAGTAAATATGGAAGGACGACGAGGGCAGATCCGCATCCTTGACGGAGAACAACGCGAAAGCCTTCTCAAACCCGCCCCCTCCCCCGCCGATTTTCACCCTTCCCGCAGCG